TCAGGGTGTCGGGGTTTGGGGTTTAGGGCCGATGTTTGGAAACTCACACGTAGCTTCAGGAAACTTGGGTTCAGCATTCAGGCCCGTAGTTCGGGCGTTGTGCAGGGATTCGCAGACTTTTCCAGGGCGCAGAGCGTTTTAGGACGTAACTGTGCCTCTCATCCTCCATAAAAGGGCAGCTGTGAATGAACTTTAGGTGCTTAAGGCTTCAAACCTGGAGCCCAAGGTAGACATTTTGCTAAGTAGTACACTTCCGTCACTACCGGATAAGACGTCGGTTTCACAGCCGGCAGGAGTCCTGAGCCTCAAATCGCTAGCCTGAAGTCTCGGGCCCTGGGCCTAGTGGTTCAGGACTTAGCATCACAGTAACAAAGACAACAAACTTCATGCTGTCTTTTCGGAAGTTAGTTTTTCAAGAACGATAGAATCCTACACGAATGTCGACGACTACGATTCCTGCTGCTGCTGAGCTGCTTCTATTGCTGTTACTCGCTACTAGTACTGCAACTTCTACTGCTACTGCTACTGCTAGTGCCACCGCCACTGCCACTGCCACTGCCACTGCCACTGCCACTGCCACTGCCACTGCCACTGCGACCGCCACTGCTGATGCTACTGCTTCTGCCGTGCCTGCTGCTGCTGTTGCTGCTGCTGCTGCTGCTATTACTGGCTACAGTGTTGCTACTGGTACTGCTGCTGCTAGTTCTTGTCCTAGTGCTACCTACTGCTCGTGTTTCTGCCACTGCTACTGCTACTCCTACTGCGACTGTTACGACGACGACCAAGTCACCGCAGCTCGACCATTATGAATACTTTACATTTCGTACTGCCACCGGCAATAGAAACGAGTAGCATTAGTGACAGCGGTATGCAGACATGCCCCCAAATGGTCATTACAATAGTTGGCCATCGCAACACGGTATGCTGCGATGGTGTAATGGGATGGCAGTATGGTAGATCGATCAGTTGCACCGATGTAACGGCAATCCAATGCAGGTGGGTTATAGACTAGGCATTCTACAATCAGAGAATATAGCTGGCCGTATTCCTAATAGCAACAACTGCAGCAACAGCTAGTGCGATTTCCGTGCCTTTCATCTACGTTCTGAGCGAAAGTGACGGTAATGGACACTTACGTGGGGGGACCCAGCAGAACTCCACAAAGCACACGCTCTCAGGTCCATGCACGGCAGATGAGGTGATCCAGGCTGGCTATGGCCTCATGGCTTTTGACATGGGTCCCATGATGCACCTCGGCTACCGGGCACCTGAGGGTTCAGGGTCTGTGTGATCTTCAGCCCGTCTCCCATCCTCCTTTTCGCGAGATGTATCAACCAGTGAGACAGGAGTCCTGCTACACTGTTACATGGCTCTGTCGTATTGTATTTGTGGAGTTCTGAAGGTGTTTTGCACAGCATCTTCGCTACGTGCACAGCCCAGGAACACAAACGACGTGCACGGTCTTTCCGGAAGAACGCTGTCAAGCATCTACTCCGTGCCACAGCTGCTTTTTGGTGCTCTAGGTTGATACAGATCTTTGGATTGGGTCATTGCACATCACAGCTGGATATGTCCTTTGTAATTCCACTTTTTACATACGGTAAAAGAAGCTCTGTGCTAGTACGAGCACCGGATGTAAGTGTGGTGTCGTGCTGGGTGAATAGCCATAAGCCTTGCTTGACGGACCCAACTCCCAAAACTTTTGCCACGCCATATAACCCTGTATCCCCTCTTGACAGCCCAACAGCCTTAAACCCAAGCCTAAAACCGCAGATCCCACAACCCAAAACCCACATTCAGCCTTTTTTCGCGTCCTGCGGCTGCTCAGGGCTACCTCAATGCTGCTGGGACGCAATGCGTGGAAGCTTTCTCCCGCCAAAGATTAAGATTCAGGGGTCGAGGGGTTGAAGGATTGGGGTCTAGGGCTGAAGATGCTGATCAATGTTGTGTTTCTAAGTAGAGTCAAGTATGACTGCCATGTCGTTTCGTCGGAGCATGATTGATGGGATCGAAATCTTGGTAGTCTCAGTAAGGCTGCATTGTTCTCCCAGTCCGAGAAGCATCCCGGGAATATCTTCAATAGTTCGACTTCCAGAGTAGCTCGTGGTCAGTTGTCGAGATGTTTGCTGCAAATCTCGGGACTGCGAGCAGGATAGCCACCTCCGTTAAAGGGGCCATCGGGCACGAATCGTTCACATCCATACCCAAGCTGTGGCAGTAGAGATAATATGGTCGTTGTTAAGTAGAAATATGGTCGTTGCTAATTTAAACCCTAAACCAAGTATAGACCCTAAACCGTAAGGATGGAACGGTTTTTGATCCTACGCAAGCTGAAAGCTTTGGTCATTGGTCTGAACCAGTGGTGACAGGATTGCGCCGCCTTCGGCAACGGGCGCCTGGGCTGGTATATCGAAGTCTAATAACTAGCAATGAATATTCCTTCATAGCTCCGGAACATGAGGATAGAACCTTCTCCACAGCATGTTCGAAAACATGTGGGACCCTGATGACATGGGTGGACAGAGTGGGCACAGGCTACAGGAAGGCCCTCAGCTGGACCCTGCGGGACTCTGCTGTGCGGCCAAAAAACGACGCCCAGGAGGGACGTCAGTGAATGGACGATCTTCGAGCGCCAATCAGGAAGAAATCCTCACTCGAAATACGAAAAACCCATCTAAACACCCTGAAGTTTGTACACCCTAAGCCCTATTATAAACCCTAAGAGCCCTCGCTCATGTCAGGAAGGGTATCTGCTCCGTGGAGGCCGCAGGCTACACATACGAGCCTTGCCATGCAAAGCTGGCCAAACCCTTAGGAGTTGAGGTTTAAGAGTTTCATATAGGAGCCTCAATAATTACCTATCTTGGGGGTTTCTTATTATAGTGATAGTATTTTGGGGGTTTCTTCTTATAGTGATAGTATAATGGGCCCCCAAACCCTATTGTAATGAAGGCCCCTATATCAGGGTGTGGGTTTCCGGCTCAGGATCTTCGGTCGAGCATCCTCGTGACAAGCGACGTCCTAAACCCTAAACCCCTAAAC